GTTTGGACTTAAGCTACAGAGGCATTATTCCTATCGCTCACAATAAGGTTTGTGTGTTTTGTTTTTTATGTGATGAAACAATTAGTCACCTCTTCTTACGCCATAAAAATGCCTCATTCTAGAGTAAAGTAGATGGTTGGTTGGGAGTTTCTGTGGTGAGGAACTTTGATAACCACCTTCATCGTTTTCTTTATTGGATACTGTTGTTTAATAAAAATAGTAAAAAGTCTGATGTAGGGTATATTTGGTTGGTAACTTGTTGGCGTATTTAGAAGTCTAGAAATCAAATTATTTTCATAGGTAAAATTTGTAATTTGTGTTATTTTGTTGGTTGTAGCCTTTTCAGAATAAACAATTTGAGGTTTTCATTTTACAACTTGCTCAATCACCCTATTGATTTTTTGTAATAATTTCTATAGGGGTTGTGTTGTTTGCAAATGATTTTGTTTATCATATATTGCAGTACTCTAATATTCTCTAAATACATATTCTTTGCTTGATTATAAAAATAAAAATAAAAGTTTTTATACAAATTTTGCAAATCTATATTATTTTTAATTTATCAAAAGCTAATTAATTCCACATAATCTATATCAAAAGGCAATTTGCTAGTTGCTCTCTAATAGACAAAGATAAGTTTTGTAGTAAGACGAAATCACTTAGGTTTCAACAAGAGAAAATCCACGTGTACAAATTATACCACTAAGATTGTGTGTTATACATTATTTGAACTACAAGTGTTCAACCACTTTTAATTCTGTAAAAATTATTTATATCAATGGTACATGTCTCATTTTTTCATAAAAGATTAGTTTCTTTTTACATACACTCAATCATAAAACTGAGAAAGAATCAAAACCTCAAGAATATATACTGCTTTATTATATTAAATAAGTTTAAAAGAAGGAATATTACCAACTCATGATTTAAGAAATCAAATGAAATAAGTAATAATGTTAATCACATTCCAGTCGAAAGTCAAACATTCATAGTGCACACTACACACGTCAAATGACAAATTTAAGCATTCTATGAAATCAATCCAGAATTCAAATCTCTTTCTTTGATACCTTTTGCTTTCAACAACTCTCTTTCTACGTCTAGACTTACCATAGCAGCAGCCAAAGTTGCTTGTAGAATCTCAGTTGTTAGCTCTTGAACAACAACATTCTCCTTCAACTTTTCAACCTCTAAAGCTTTCTCCACGTAACCTTTAATCCCTAATGCAGATTGAACTTGTGGCTCTAGCCAAGTAAGATCAATTTTGAATTTGCCAAGTTCATCCCATAAAATTTGAAGTTCCTTACATGCTTGTTCATTCATGTCTTTCACTTTTCTAATGTTAATGAAATAAAGAACTTTCCCCAGTGCAGCGTACACCAACTCTGTATCAGCTTGTTTAGAAGATTCAATAGAAAAAGGTTAAACGGTTCGAAGATTTGTGGATTCTGGCTCTGAACTTGGGATTTCCACTTTCTTAGGGCTTGTTTGAGATCCTAATATTAGGCATGCAGCTTGATTTACATTTACAGGGTTCTCATGTGTTGACTTAGAAACAAATACCTCAACACCAACAATACAAGTATCATACACAATAAATCCCATGTTAGGATTACAGAGACTTGTTAACGACATGAAATGTTTAAATCCCCAGGCATTCTTCTGACTTGCGTTGAACTCATGGCTACTATCTGGCAAGCTCAAGTATCAAGAGTCAGTGTAGTTTCTATTTGAAATAAAGAAGAATGAGATGATGCAAGCTTTTTTTAAATGGCAATGCAGTAATCATATATTAATGTAAAAAAAGAAACAAGAGATAAAAAAAAGCAAGAGTAGCTAAGAGCACAAGAAGAGTGCAAAAACAGCCACCCAAACAAACCTTCAAGACCAAGCCTAAAGATGCAAGTTTCCCATAGCAACAACTCTGAAAAAATACTAAAAACCCTAAGATCAACTTTAGTGCAAGGTTGTTAAATCAAAATTTTGTATAACTTATGTTAGTAATAAAGAATTTGCATTATATTAGAGCTGAAATTGCATCTAAGCAAACTAAAATTTAGTTTTTATTATTTATATAGTTAACGTCAAATATGTGAAATATATTATAATATTATTTATTTAATTAATAAAATATTCCAACAACATTAAAGTAACGGGATGATATTTAAAAATAGTGGGGTTAAGTTTTGATTTCTTATAGACAATCGTCATTAAAGTAAAAACTATTCAAATTAACTATAAATTTTTTAAATCCTATAAAATAATTTGGGCTCACAAAAAATATCTTAATTTATCCATTTAGTTTACTCCCATTAAAGATGCTCTAAAAAAGAATAAAGAGTAAGGAACAACTTTGTCTTGATCTTTAACCACATCAAGGAACAACTTCAGAACATCTCAAACAAACAAACCCCTAACTGACGATCTCCGGACATGCAGCTGTGGTTGCTCACTATTCTATTAATAGATGGATAACCATCCATTCAAAAAATTAATTTAAAAATTCTTAATTTAATAAGTGACAAACATAATATTCAATGGATTTATAAAATGAGATGGATGAATTGAATCCATCCATATGAATTAATGGATGAATTGGATCAAATCCATTAAATTATTTTTTGTTTTATGAATGGATTGGATGGATAAATTATTAAATGGATTGAATGAACATTATCTAAATAAATTTTATTGTCAGCTCTAGTGGAAGTTCTTAGGGTGAAAACCTGTATGAAAAAAGGATAAAGATAATATGCATGGTAACTATTTAATTGAAGAGATCTGATAGTGTTTAGATGATATTTATGAGATACTATTTAATGGAAATGAGTCTAATATGAACGTTGAATCAATGCATATTGAAGGACATGGTGCAAATGCAAAGAATACAGAAAAAATCTAGAGATTAGAGAAGTTGGACATTCTCTCTTTAGTCTCTCCAGTAAATAATATTAGCTATTTGATGTTAAAGTCATATATGTTACTGTCTTATTAAAATATTCAAAACATATTTTAAATTATTAGAAAAAAGGGTCATGTATTGTAAAGAAAAAAATACCTCCTGTGATGGTCAAATTGGCATTGAGTTGATTGAATACAAACAACTTAAATTTCACATCTCTACTCCATCCCTCGGACATATTAGCAGTTTTCACAACCTCCAAATAAATTGAGAAAAAGTTGTCTGCTTTCTTCCCCCTTGGAAAAAGAAGAATCTTCCTATAGAAAAGCCATAGCAGATGAAAATACAATAATGTAAATAGTGTCAACAAGCGCACACTCAACATATCCAATACAGTAAATAAATTCTAGCATGTGGGAATTCATTAAAATAGCATACCATGGATAACCACCTAAGACAAAAGGCTTAGACCGAACCTCATTGGTTTTCAAGTGAGAGAAGTTTTCAACCTTCCATGTGAATTTCTCAAACTTCTCAAGACTAGATTGTTCATGCTCCATTTCTCTAAACTCTGACAGAACACAATAATAAAAGTAAAAAATAGAGTCAATATAAAAGAAATAACGTAGTACTGGTAGCCCAACAGAGATGCTTATATAAAGACATCGATACTTATTGTGATGAGTAGAGTAAATAGCAGCAAGGGCGACTTAATTAACTCTAGACGATGGCACAATTTACAGAAGAATATAAAAAGCGTCTAAGAGAACTTTTTTCTTATATTACAATTATTATCAATAAGGGCGATCTAGCTATCGAGGAAGGCACAACTTACCAAAAAAAACAAAGAGTATGAGAAGGATACATGAACTATATTTTTACTGCCCGTTTAACTTAATTAATGCCTATTTAATTTTCGTTTTTACTGACGAGAAATTCAAAAAGTTTCTCCAATTGCATACCAATACCAATTATACTAACGATCTCTTAAAGCATATATGTATATGAAGAACGACAAAAGACATAAGCCGAATTTTAATTTTTCCCCTTTAGTGCTCTTCTCTTTCGTCACATTTTCAAAGTCATTTTTCTTTATTATATAAAATGGAACAACCTATGCAGTTCCTATGAAACTTTAATTCTTTTTTTTTTTACTCCTTTATGCTCCAACTATAATTTTAGTTATTAATTATTTATTTATATTTTAAATTTATTATTGATTTGCTAACATAGATATTAGTATGAATCATTTTAAAAATTACATTAACTTCACACATATTAATTCTTTGTAGATATGAAAAGTTGTATTAAACTCCAACGTATACACTCATTGCAAAGTTTTATATAATAAAGATTTTCACTAACTTCTCACATGTACGGTACATTCTTTGTAAATATCATTCGTGTCAACTTATCCGATTTATAAAAATGTTTGTGCAAGCTCTTGTTTCCTATGGACCGGAGAAAAAAATCAGTGTTTACCTAGATCCGTTGTGGAATTTCAGAACCGTGGTTGCAGCAATTAACACCGGGTTTCGGCAGCTGGGCGGTCGTCGCGTGACGGTGAGAAAATTGGAGTATCGTTGTCCATATATAACGCTTACTGATGCTAATCCGGAGGGGACATACATGTACTACCTAGATCGTATAGAAAATGATGAAGATGTCCATTGCATGTTTTCAGCACATAGTGGCGAAGTCAACAGAGGAGTCACAGATCCACTTGTGTTGGTCGCTGTTGTTGGTTAGAGTTTATGTAGCTTCATGAGTTTTATTTTTGAGTTTGTGGAGTCACGGATCCACTTTATGTTTGTAGTTAGCTGGTATTGTTGTAATTTGAAAGTTGTTTTGAATTAAAAATAATTGATGGATCACATACAAAATTAGTACAATCAAATTATCTATTCGGTCGATTTGACGGACCGGTAACATTGGGACATTTTCTACGCATATGACTTATTTCTTTGCAAATCACACACCTTCTTTTCTCTTTTTCTCCGTCGTCCATCTCAGTTCTAACTCTACTACTTTTTGGACGCCCCTTTTTATTTCTTCTCATGGAATCGTCATGGCACAGAGTAAAACCTTCATATTTTGGTCAGTTCTCCTCGTGTGGTAGTCTCAGAAAGCTTTTCTTGTAGACCTTGAATACGTTAAGAACTGTGAAGACCTTTGGAATGTGAATTGTGTAGTCCTGTCGTATGCTAGCACATGTCGCTATCACGTGGGAGCAAGGCAAGCGAAATGCTTGAAATTTTCCACAGTCACATAAACAATTCCTCAAGTCAACGCTGAAAGTATCCGTTGGACGACCATCGTTGTAATTAATCTTTTCCTGCACCATGAAACATAATCTTTCGCGATCAAATTGCATGACGTTGTGTGTGTTAGCCTTGGCTACCTCATCAGTCATTCCCTTGTTACAACCATCTGTGAAAACTTTGCATGAAGATAGCATTTTGGTCCATTTGTGTCCTCGTTTACCAAAGAGTGAACTCATTCGATAGTATGTAGACTGGACCAATGCAGTGATTGGAAGGTTTCTGGTTGCCTTTAGTACAGAGTTTATGACCTCTGCCAAGTTAGATGTCATATGTCTCCAACGTTGCCCTCCGTCAAATGCTCTAGCCCACTTCTCCCTAGGAATGTTGTCTATCCAATTTGAAGCCTCAATGGTTGTTCTTCTGATTTCTCCGCGATAGTAATTAAATCTAGCCTCCGTCAATGTGTAACCTGTAACAGAAATTGTGTGAAAAAAATGATAAAAGTGTGGTACAAAACTTGAGATAAGTGAAATGTATTTGGTTACCCATGTTAACAAGTTTTCTGCGTAGATATTTGTCCTTAATCTCGCGCATGAAGTTCTGAGCAATGTGTCTTATGCAGTAGACATGTGAAGATGGTGGATGTTGCCATCCGTTTTCGGGATTGTTGTATGCACTCTTTATCGATTCATGTCTATCATATATTAGACACAAATTAGGTTGTGGTGTCACGTGTAATCTCAGGTTCCTCAGAAAAAGCTTCATGCTTCCTTTGTTTCACCTTCGACCAATGTGAATGCTATTGGGAAATTATTTGCGTTGCCATCCTGTGCCACCGCCATCAATAGAGTTCCTCTGTACTTTCCATACAACCAAGTTCCGTCTACTTGCACAATAGGCTTACAGTAGGCAAAACCACGTATACACGGACGAAATGTCCAAAACAGACGATGAAATATTCGTTTTCCAGAGATTTGGGAACCATCACTTGATATCGCAGGTAGGGTTTGCAAATCTATAAAGGTTCTTGAAAGGAAGGTTTTCATTACTAGTATCCACTACGGTAGGTCGTTGTAAGATGTTTCCCAATTGTCATAATGCGACTCTACCGCCTTGCACTTAGCGATCCATGATTTCCTGTAAGATATAATGTACCCGTATTTTTCAAGAATATGGGCGATGATCACTTTTACCTTAAGCGAGGCGTCGCTGTTGACAAGTTATCTGATACTATGGCTAACCATTTCTGAACTGAGCTTCCTATGGTCTTGCAATTGTAACACTGCATTAACATGGCATTGTTGTGGATGGGCAATGAACATCGTGGAACACAAGAAAATATCCAAGCTAGTGTACGTTTTTTCTCTATTAGAATGCATTCAAAATTAATGTCTATAGTTGTGGAGTTAAATATTATTTTGTAGCAAAAATCGTGATTACATTTTGTTGGTTTAATATTGTTGCAGACTAATGCCCCAAGGTTTAGAGTGCATTCACATGCTTCTATTCAAGTGAGTCAGAGAATAACGACTTATCTTGAAATAACAGGTTTTGCACATATCTCAAAAATAAATAGTTTAAACGTCGACTCAAGTTTAATTGTGGCTCTGTTGGAGAAGTGGAGATCCGAAACACACATGTTTCACCTCCCAACAGGTGAATGTAAAATAACGCTTGAAGATGCGTATATGTTACTTGGTCTACGAGTTGATGGAAAAGCTATCAACGGTCCCACCGAGGTAACAAACGATGTTTATATGGAAAACTTAGGGGTGGAACCTACAGAAGAGGATAAAATTAAATGTTCTATTAGGATCACCTGGTTAGAGAGTTTATATGAAACTTTAAAAAATAAATTTGTCCCCATATAAGAAGAAGTTCTGTTAGAAGTCAAAATTTATATTTTACTTGTAATCGCTACTATTTTGTTTTCTGACAAAAGTCAGAACCTATTGCATTTTTCTTGGATCCCTTTCGTAGGGGATCTTGTCGCATGCGGTACCTATAGTTGGGGTTCTGCATGCCTTACAAAACTATACAGAGAAATGTCCAAGGCAGCAGTCAAAGATGTTAGGAGCATGAGTGGTTGTGCTCTCATACTAACTTCGTGGGCATTCACACGTATACCATTGTTCGCTCCTGTCAGCACACAGTGGAATCCTTGTTTCCATATGCACAAAGGTATTTTTCTATTAAAACACCCATTTATGTGTACATAATATATATATATATATATATATATATATATATATATATATATATATATATATATATATATATATATATATATATATATATATATATATATATATATATATATATATATATATATATATATATATATATATATATATATGTGTGTGTGTGTGTGTGTGTGTATATATATATGTGTGTGTGTATATATATATATATATATATATATATATATATATATATATATATATATATATATATATATATATATATATATATATATATATATATATATATATATATATATATATATGTGTGTGTGTGTGTGTGTGTGTGTGTGTGTGTGTGTATATATATATATATATATATATATATATATATATATATATATATATATATATATATATATATATGTGTGTGTGTGTGTGTGTGTGTGTGTGTGTGTGTGTGTATATATATATATATATATATATATATATATTTGTTATTCAACTATGCCTAACAATTTATTTTTTTTGGTTATGCAAGATGGGCGCAAAGAGGAATGAATTACCGTGTAAATCTTCGTTTTCATCTTCAAGAATATCGAAACGCATTGGACCATATGCAAGAACAAGATGTAAGTTTGAAACCATGTGAAAATAGTTGTCGGTTCTACTCGTTAATTGTATCTTAATTTTCTTTTTTATGTGGCAGTTTATATGGAGGCCGTACATTCAATATCCGGTGCCCAGTCTTGGAGATCGCCAAATCTGGAGTGCAACCACTTACCTTATTTGTTTCTATACCATTGAGATGCATCAAACGGATAGGGTAACACTCCAGTTTGGATTAGACCAACAAATCCCTCTCCCGCCAAGGTGTCTAAGGGAACACCACGCAATGACCATGAGAAAAGCCCAAAAAGTTCATTGGCGAGAGTTAAACAAGGAGGAGGTGAGAGAATGGAGACACAGAAGAAATGTGATTTTGCAGGGGGACGCTGCATTACGTGAACGCAAGCCAAGCCAAGAGTATTTAGCTTGGTTTCGTGCCATTCCTTATGTGCATGTTGCTCTAGAACAATTTTTGACCGACCCACGCACGTAAGCATCATCATCAACACAACTGATTGTCGCATCAGTGCATCAAGATGTGCCACCAACCTACACATCTCAATTTGGGGGCACGCATACTCGTCAACTTAACATACATACCAACAACAAACACCCAACAATCCATTCCCTCAACAAAACTATAACTACCACTACAACCAACAATATCAGCCCCAACCCTACCTCCGACCACCCATGCAGTTCACCCCAGTCCCACCGCCCAACTTTGACCAGACCGGCCCACGTTTCCAATATCAAACCTTCAACACTACCTTCTCTCAACCAACCTCGACCTTCAACACTATCTTAACTCAACCCACCTCGACCTTCACGCCTAATGACGTCTACTACCCAACCCTTCAACAAACTCAACCCGAAGCCTACCCGCAACCACCACACTTATTCCAAAATTTTTTGCTGACAGACGAGCAACTGATGCACATGCCGAATTTTAACATTGATGATCTTCTTGATGAGCAACCAGGACGCTCTTCACGGCAGGCAAACCCCCCTACAACACATCACAACGAAGACATGTCTTCCGACTCATCTCAATCACCTAGAAATGAGCGTTTGGGCAGGTGATATAGAGAGCGAAGGACCACTAGGTGTGGAACTGGGGTCATTGATAACACGAAATCGTATATATATTTTGATGCATAATTCAACTGAAGTTTAACTGTTTTCGATCCGATTTCGGGTTGTTTATGTGTTATTTGTCTGATGTTTTGCAAGTATTTGACGATCACGTCTAAACAAGGCATTATGAAGAAAAGAAACAATCTCAGATGAAATATGGACGAAAACCGGATGAAAACATCATGAAAAGCGCAAAATGCTGATTTTGTTGCTGTGACGACCGTCACAGCTCCATGACGACCGTCATACGGGTGACGACCGTCACACATTGTGACGATCGTCATGCAGGCAAAAACGCCCCACTTCAGTTTCACGTAAAAGAAGCAGTTCCAAGTCCCAAATAGTGGACCACTACTCCCTGATAATTCTGCCTCAAAGTCCACCTTCTTCAAGTTATAACCGTTAGAATTCCATTTCTATAAAAGGGAGAGAAGGGGGACTCAGAAAGTGAGCCGCATTCATACAACGAAGTGCTGCCCAATTTTATTTCCAGAGCAACCTTTCCAGTTTTTAATATTCTTATTTGTTTCTCTTTTCTTTTTCTGCATTCCTTTCATTCCTTCTGTAATTTTTATTTCCGTTGTACGATCAAATTGGCACAAAGACCAGAATCCTGCCAACATCTGTGGAGGATCTGCCCAAAGGTCAATTGGAATATTTACAGGTTTCTCATTTCAATCGTAATTCCAGTTTTTATTATGATGCATGCTATTATTTATTGTTTTTATTTATGTTTTACCTTTCCCAAATCCATGTCTAGCTAAATTAAAGTAATCGATATGTAGTAATAATTCGAAAGGGATTTGATAATAACCGGTTGAAAATTGTCTTTTTCAAAAGTTGTTTATGGTCTGAGTGTTTAAAATTAATTTACTGAATAAACTTCGTCGCGAAAGCGAGAACTTATTTAAAAGTAGTTTTGCCACGAAAGTGGGAAATTAATTAAGGTACGAACCAACAAGCGAAAGCTGCGGCAAGACCAGATAGTGAACACTAGTCATTCATTTTAATAACAGCGAAAGCACTTTAAAATGAATTAGAACTTAGAGATTTCCAAAAAATAATTTTAACCCCGAATGAGACACGAAAGCTACGTTTGGCCCTTAGAATTATGATTAGCGTCAATAACCATCGTGAGGCGAGAGTCTTCAGATCACCATTTTCTGCTTAAATAAACTCTGAAAAATATTTCATAGGCTGGTAACTTATCAAATTCCCGAAGAATATAATCACTGCATATCGATTCAATTAATTATACTTTAAGTAACCTCCTTAGTTCCCTTTAGTGACAATCTTATTCCCTCAAACATTATCTACCAAGCTAAACATAGTAACTCCCGAGAACACTAGTTTGATTACGAGTCCCTGTGGGATCGATATCTATTATTACTACGCGATAGACTGTGCACTTGCAGTTAGGTTGTATTAGACATAGAAAGTCGCGATCAAGTTTTTGGCGCCGTTGTCGGGGACCCGTTTAGTCAATAGTGTAACCTTCTGTTACGCCGTATAGACTAGGTTAATTATTCTCATTTTTCCTTTACTAGTGCTGTCGATTGTATGCCAAGTGATCGCCCGCAAGGCGATATCTTGAAACCTTCAGTCGCAGAACTAAAATGCTTTTTACATCTAAGAAGCCGAATCATTGAGTACCAACTCAAACATAAC